AAAAAAAAAAAACCCTGCTGCATTAAAAAAAAAAAAAAGAATCCCTGTTCCATATAATGCAGGCTTTTTTTTTTTTTTTTTTTTAAACTTAGGGATTCACTCTAGCTCAAGCTGCCCTAGGACTCAGCATATACCTCAAGCTGGTCTTGAACTCATGGTAATCCTCTGCCTTAAGCCTCTCAAGTGCTGGGCTATCAGCCAAAAGTTGGGGAGAGAGCTCAGTCTATTAAGTGCTTCCTATACAAGCATGAGAACCCAAGTTTGATCTACAGAACCCACGTAAAAAGCTGGCCTCAAGGAATAGATGATGATGATGATGATGATGATGATGCCAGCCTAGGTGTCATGTACTTGTAATCTCCAGCACTGAGAGACAGGGACAGGCAAGTTCCTGGGTCTCACTGGCCAGCCAGCCTAATCAGTGAACCCCAGGTCCCTGTTTCAGAAAACAAGATGGATGACTCCTGAGAAATAATTTTCAAGCCTGACCTTTGGCACAAGGACGCAAGCACAAATACACACACCCTCTGCACCCTGTATACACACACACACACACACACACACACACACACACACACACATACCTCTGCACCCTGCATACCCCCCGAAAAATTATTTAAGAAAAAGATCTTGGAATAGTGCCTGGCAAGAACACGAATGCAGCCGTTACTACTGACTGCACTTGCAGTATCTGCTCCCAGGAAGGTTTTTCTGGTTGCTGTCAGCGCTCTTGGAAGACTTCAATTGTTCGGTGGCTACAGAGCTTCTTGTTAGCTGTCCTGATTGGACTAGACTGGGAACAACTTCCTGCCAGGGATCTGAATCAGACACTAGCTTAAGGAAGGTGAGACTCTCCTCACCGATGGCCACTTGTTCTTTCCCACAGTGCAGGTGGCCATCAGGAGAAATACAAGAGCCCTTCTTGTCCCCTGTGAACAGCTGGCTCCTAGTATTTCCATCCAATCATCATTGATATAACTTTATCTACTGAGGCACCTCACTGGACCCCAGTCTGTTTTTTTACTTCAGAAGACATCAAATCCACACTGCTGTGAATCAGTAAACAGGACACCTTGTGTTGGCCTCACTCTGAAAAAAAGTCTGAACATTACACATGGAGTCTAAGATATAACCTAATTCCATGCTTTTCAATTCTGTATTATCAGATTAGGCAAGTATCAGCAAAGTTCCGACCATCTAGGGAGGCTGTAATGGGAGGAGAGGGAGGGGAGATCCCCAGAACAGGCTCATTTCAGGGGGCTAGGGAGAATAGGCAGCTGCTATGTTTGCTCTCATGAATGACCAGCACCCTGATGAAAGCTGTATGTGTCTCCAGAGCCCAGTCCCCATTCCTTAGATGCTAGTCCTGAATCTCCAGATGGTTAATGGCAGACAGAAGACTAGTTGTCAGGGCTTTAATTTCTGACCAAGATCACAGCAAGAGAGAGTGTGGTTCCTTTAGCCATTTCAGCAACCAGGCCAAGGAGTTACATTTGGATGCTTGTCAAGCTCCCTGTGACGTGTGTGTTTCCCTAACAGTGGGAAGGATGCCCTCCTTTGCTGACTGCACAAGCCCTGTCCTACACCTAAGAAGTACAGGAAAGAAAGGTCAAGCTGCAGCCCAGACAGTAAATAGGCTGTGTGGCACATTTATGCCAAATTGACCAGTTTTACAAAGCATCTCTTTAAATAAGCTATGACACAGATTTAAAAACCCTTTGGTTTCTCCTAAAGTATTCCAGAACCATCCATCCCTGCCAGCTGGGTAGATACAGAACAGATTCTATTTTTTTTTAAATGGCAAGTAAAACTCTCCAGTTGACACAAAGACTTCTAAAACCCCAATGAAAGGAATCCTATTTCGCTAAATGAGAGAATAAAATCTGAGACTGCATCATATGAGATCCAAGGGTTGTAAGGAAAGCAGAAAGGCACTCCAGTCCCTGCAGTGCACCAACATGGCAACACCTTCCCTATTGGTTCTGCAGATCCTCTTTGGAGCTAGAGAAGCAAGGCTCAGCCACACAAGACCCTGTCTCACTATAACTGCAAAGGTGATGGGAATTTCAACAAGAGGCCAATTTTTGCCTTCAGTATTCTTTTATATGGATTTTACACTGATCATGTATCACTTTATATTGAGGAATAATAAAAATTAGAAATCATAAACTTAGGACCACTGAACAGAAATGTCAACAACTGGCTGCACACACAATGAGGGCCCCAACATGTTATATCAGTAGTGACAACGTAGCCAGCTCAGTTTATGAAGGTGTGCTGCATGATGTTCATAAAACTATAACACTGCCTAACACATTTCCCAAATCAGGCCCTAGGGTTAAACAACTCATCACTGTATTTAACAATTCACCAGTGATTCCCATGCAGCTAGAATGAACACTGCTCCAAGTAAGAGCTGGGTCAGGTAAACACTGTAGGTGGCATTTGAAAGGAGGTAAGAGAACTCAGTGATAGCTCTCTTTTCCATAAAGTTACATTGTCTCGTAACATTGTAACCATTGTAGTTTGTGCAAGAGCTCCCTCAAGTCCTAAGAAATAAGCTTAACCTTAGAACTAACCATAAAATCAAAAGCCAAAAGTAGAGAGATCAGGTTGGGCACGGTGGTGCTCACCTTTAATCTCAGCACTGGGAAGCTACAAGCAGAGGCAGGCTGATCTCTATGAGCTCTAAGCCAGTCAGGGTCATACCAAAAAAAAAGAAAGGAAAGAAAGAAGGAAAGGAGGAAGGGAGAGAAGGAGGGAGGGAGGGAGGGGAGAGAGAAAGAGAAAAGGAAAAAAAAGAAAGAAAAGAAAAAAGAGAGGTCTAAAATCTAAATTCACCCATAAGAGGAAAAGGGCTACCTAAGCCAGCAGAACAGGCCAGCAATGGACACTGAGATCGCTAAATAATCATAGTTTGGTGTTTGGATTTAGGTCTCCCCTGCAGGGCCGAGGTCAGAGCCTGGCAATAAATCAGTGCTGAATGAACAGGCTGAGCTAGTTTGGCCTAAGGTAACTCTGATCCCATGCTCAATAAGCAACTTTCTCTGCTCTTGTTTCTATTTTAAAAAGAACACCTAGCAGAGGCTTCGGCCATCAATTGCCACAGTCTGGCTTATACAAGCCTGCTCTGAGAGACATCCCTCCCCTGTTGGGGTTTGAACAGAACTGAGGTAAATCACTGAGGTGGTGAGTGCCCTGCCCTGTAGACCACCTGGAGACTCTTCCATGGCCCTTTTCAGTTGATCTTCCTTGAGCAACTCATTTTAACTCAGTACATGGTATCACCAAGTAAACAGCTAGATGGCTACAGTTGAGGGTAACAGGACTACATGGATTAATAAACTGAGCATCCACTAGCCACCCACTACCAGCTGCTGAGCACCTAAAATATAGCTAGTTTAGAGAGATGCTTATTAAATAGAAAGCAGATAATGATTTTTAAAGATTTAGTTCAAGAAAAAAATACATAAAATGGTGCACTCAATCTTTGTACTGAATATACAATAAAATAAGTCATATGTCAAGTACATGGTACATGTTTTGAGAAATTCATCATCACAAACATGCTTGCACAAACTACAATGGTTACAATGTTACATGGCAATATAACTTTATGGAAATATGGTTGTATATATGGTATGTCTTTAACCTATATTTTAGATATATTATGTGTACAAATATTCTATTAACAGTAACATCTATTGGGGCTGGAGAGATGGCTCAGTGGTTATGGTTGTTCTTGTAGAAGACCCGGGTTCAAATCCCAGCACCCACATGGCAGCTAACAACTATCTGTAACTCCAGTTCCAGGGGATCCGACAGCCTCTTTTGACCTCTGTGGGCATTGCACAACATGGGTGCACTTACCTACATGCAGGCAATACATGCATACACATAAAAATTAAATTTTTTTTTAAAGTTAAAAAAATGCTTTTAAAAAGTAACATCTATTTCTTTGCAAATCTTCAAAATGTGGCTACTCAAAAATATTAAACTGCACATGTGGTTCAGATATCTGATAAACAGCACAGCATATATGATCAAGAAACCTCACCTTGGCTTGACTACGTTCTCTTTCTAGCACATCTAAACGTACGTCTCACTGGACCAGATATCACCTTAGCTCCCATGGCCCTGCCCCGCAATCCCAAAACTTCATTTTATCCTCCTCTGAGATGTCCTAGGAATTCCATATTGCATTTCATATCTACACACTTAGGGGTTTTTTGTTTTGAGACAGGATCTCCATGTAGCCTCAGGTAGCGTAAAACTTACTACGTAGACCACGTTGGCCTCAATCACAGAGATCCACCTGCCTCTGCCTCCCAAGTCCTGGGATTAAAGGCATGTACCTCTATGCCTGGCTCCTATAAACTTTTTAAAAAGCAATTTTGTGTGTTTTTCTTTGTGTTGACTTTAAGTGCCTTCATCAATTGCTCCCTACCTTATTTTTTGAGACAGAGTCTCTCAATGAATCTGGAGCTCACTGTTCCAGCTAGACTGTTTAGCCAATGAACCCCTGAGATCCATCTGTCTCCTCCTCCCCATATTCCTAGAACTAGGGTTACAGACATGCACCACTGTACCTGGCTTTTATGTGGGTGCTTGGAATACAAACTCAAGTCCTCATGCTTGCTCAGCAAGAACTTTACCCATTGAGCCATTTCCCCAGCTCAATACCTACCACACTTTAGTAAAAAAGCTCTAAGCAAAATAACTGTGTGATAATTGTGAAATTATTCATTACAATTTAATGAACAAACAAGACTGGGCATAGTGGTGCATGCCTTTAATCCCAGCACCTGGGAGGCAGAGACAGACGGATTTCTTGTGAGTTCAAGGCCATCCTGGGTCTACATAGTGAGTTCCAGGCCAGCTGGGGTTACAGTGAGACTCTGTCTCAAAAAGACCAAAAGTAAACAAACAAACAAACAAATAAATAAATAAATAAATAAATAAATAAATAAAAATTCACGAACAAACAAGCTTAGAGTATTGTAGAATTTATTAGAAATTTGCTGGGTATGGTGACATATTCCTATAATCCCAGCACTTGGGAGGCAGTGGCAGAAAGACTAGGAATTCAAGATTATGCTCAAATACTTAGGGAGTTTCAGGCCAGTCTGGGCTAAGGAGACGATGCCTCAAAACACAAAGGAAAAATTTACTGAGGCAAAAGCAGGTAGATCTCTATGAGATCCAGGCCAGTTTGGTCTTAAAAAAAAAAAAAATTTATTACTATAAATTCATTAACTCTTCTGAAATACTCTTATTTTCAATTCAAGTTTTAGAAACAGACCTCTAACAAGGCTCTCTGTGCTAATGAAATGAGATTTGGTGGTGGCTGTACTGGCACCATTATGGTGTCTATATACAATCAGCAGTGTTATTAGAAAAAAATCTTCAGGTGCAATTATGAGGCATATGGATTCACATCTGCACTAACAGAACCACACACATTTTTTTAGTTCTCTTGGCCCTGCTGCAGGGATGGGGCATGGAAGTCTACTGACTTCAGTTCCCAAGTTCCCTTGCTCGACTGTCCCTACTCATCTTGGGAGCACCACAGCCTTCAGAAGTAACTTTCAACTTCCAATTAATAGAGGCAAATTTCCTGTTTCCTCTGGAGGGCCTCAGTTCCATGATACAACTCCCAAGGACCACCTACTCAAATGGACAAAACAATCTACTGCTGCTTTCTGAATAATCATTGTCAGTGTTGTGACCCAAGCAGGAGAACCCTCCCAGGACATGACAAAGAATGAAGACACTTACTTGGGGAACTGGCAGAGACCCGCTTCCTGGTCAGGCTCTCGTGGCTGGCCTTGTCAGACACTGAAGTGCCCCTCGTTTGGACATGCCTCTTTCCTGGGCTCTCCTCTGGCTCTGGTGATTTTTCCATTCCGTGGAAATATTTCATGTGATAATGCAACAGTTTAGCTTTGCGGAAGAATTTTAAACAGTCCACAACTTTGCATCTAAACTTGTGGTCTAGGTCCAAAGCTGGCAAATTAGATGTCACAAAGCCATCTGTTTTCCTAAAAGTGTTTGGTCCTGAGAAGAAAACAAACAAACAAAAAAGAACACTAAAGTGAAGAGCTCTGTGTCTACCCTGGCTACAACAGAACATGTATTAGCATACAATCAGGGAACGTGTCAGAGTGGCAGACATGTGCTGCTGCAGGTCCTGAACATGTTGCTGGTACCTCCCAAAGTACTGTTGGGAAAGGAGATATCCAACTTCCAGGCAACAATTGGGATTCATCTTTAGAAAGAAGAAACTGGGGGCTAGTTCAGTGGTTAAGAGTGCATACTGTTCCTGCAAAAGACCTGAGTTCGGGTCCTAGCACCTGTTATCAGGTGGCTCACAACTGACTGTAACTCCAACTCCAGGGGATCCAAGACCTCTGACCTCCACAGGCACCTACACTCATGTACATGCACAGATACACACAGACACACAGACAGACAGACAGACAGACACACACACACACACACACACACACACACACACAGAGAAACCAATCAATGTAATTTTTAAAACAGCAACAAAACAAAAGATATATAAACAATTCAAGGCTTAAACAATGGTTCCTTCCTCAATAAAGTATTACAAACTGGACTATTTGATTTCTTTTTTTTTTTTTTATTTTCTTTCTGCCAGGTGTGGTGACATAAGCCTTTAATCCCAGCACTTGGGAGGCAGAGGCAGGCGGATCTTTGTGAGTTCGAGGCCAGCTTAGTCTACACAGTGAGTTCCAGGACAGATGGGGCTACAAGGAGACCCTGTCTAAAAAGACAAAAAAAAATTTTTTTTCTTTGTTATATATTTTTATTTTATGTGTATTGGTGTTTTGTCTGCACATATGCAAGTGAACCCATGTCAAGTAATGCCTGTGAAGGCCAGAAGAGGATGTCAGATTCCTTAGAACTGGAGTTACAGACAGTTGTTAGCCACCATGAGGGTGCTGGGAATAGAAGCTGAATAGAAGCTGAGTCTTCTGCAAAAGGAGCAAATGCTCTTAACCGGTGCGCCATCTTCCAGCCCCTGGACTCCTAAATCCAACACTTTCAGCAATATGAATAATTCTATTTCTCATATTTCACAACATTATCCTGACTTTCCACACTACTGCCTGTGTACACAATGGACTGTGTTCAGTTCACAGGGCCATGTGCTTCCCTTTCAGCAGATCCTTCTCACCTGTTACCCATGTCCTGCTCATCCTCCCAATGCTACTTCAGTACACAATGTCTTCTCCTAGATCCCTCAGCAGAAAAGAATTCTCTCCTGCCCACTCATAAGTATGTTATATGAAATACATCTTGGAGCATTTTTCCTTTCCTATTTTCACAACCTAGTTCTGTCCATTCCTTATTCTAAAGAGCTGAAATGGGCAGTGTGGAAATCACTACTTCCAAGGAGCTACCTGAATTACCATCTAGATGCCTTGTACTCTTCCAAACCTTAAACAGACCTTTGTTAAGAGCCAACAGACAGCACAGAGGTTTCTCCTGCGTGAACAGGTTCAAGATTCCAAGTCACTAACCTAAATTCCTACTACACATTAGCATATACAAAGAAAAATGGTCCTCAGATTTTGCTTTGATAAGTTTTTTGGTTTGGTTTTTTGGAACAAGGTCTTATACAGCCCAAGGCTGGCCTCAAACTCACTATATAGCCAGACTGGGGCTTTTAATGATGATAACTTTAAGATTTTTTTTTCTTTTCTATTTCTTGAGACAAAGTCATGCCTTAAACAATCTCTTATTCTACCGAATGCTAGGATTACAGGTGTGTCAACACACCATGCTGTGATGTTTCTTTTTTAAAAACTTTAGTTTTTATTTTACGCATATACGTTTTGCCTGCACGTGTATGTATAACATGTATGTGCCTGGTGCCTGTGAAGGCCAGAATAGGGCATCTGATCCTGTGGAAGAGAAGTTACAGACAGTTCTATGTCACCAGCCCTCTGCAATAGCGGCAAGTGTTCTTAATCACTGTGCCAACTTTCTGGCCTTTGGACTTTTTTCCCCCTTATAGGAGTGGGTGACAGACTCCATCAAGAGACCTCAAAATCCTTGCCTTCTGGTCTTTATCCACTTGTGTAATTCCTTCCCCATAATCTGTCTCAAAGATACTATGGCAAAAATGCTAGTACATTTTTGTAAGGACACAACATCCTACTTACCAGCAGATAGTCTCCTTTGCTAGCTTAGTGAAAACAAGTGCCATGAGGTGAGCTACTCTGCAGAAGATCATGGAGGAAAGAATTGAAGGTACCAGCTGGGTGTGGTAGCGCACGCAGAGGCAGAGGCAGGTGGACCTCTCTGAGTTCAAGGCCAGCCTGGTCTACATAGCAAGTTCTAGAACAGCTGGGGTTACAGGGAGACCCTGTCTTAAAAAGACCAAAAAAAGAAAAAAATAAAAAAATAAAATTGAAGGTGCCCGCAAAACACCCAGGCCCTCAGTCTACTACCTTCAAGTAGCTGAGCATCGCCAACAGCCAGAGAGCCTGGAGCCCTTTCCCAGAGGTTTTCAGATGGGAACACACCCCTGGACAACCTCTGGCTGACATTCACCTACATAGACTTCTGAAAAAATAAGTGTTGTTTGAAGAAGCTATGTTTAGATTAATATCGCTATACAGTAATGCGATGCAGCATGCGGTCAGAAGCTTTCTTATTTTCTATATACCTACAATACAGAAATTATATATAGATAGATACATACACAGATATGTATGTGTGCATGTGGTCCCTGAGAGCCAGGGCCATCTGGACTCCTTCCTGCATGTGGAACAATCAAGCAGTATGCCAGGACTGTGTTATCATCTGAAACCTCTAGGGAAGGATCCAGGCCCTCATGACTGTTGGCAACAATTTGGTTCCTTGAAAGTCAGTATATCACATAAATCACATATAGCTGGGCAATGTTTTATACTTTTCTTTTTATAAAAAGAATATACTATTTTGTAAGTTTTTTTAAAAAGCTTTTAAACTAGGCTGGTACTTTTGTAGTTTTAGTTTGTTGTTTACAGTGCTAGGGGGTGAACCCAGAATTTGTGCCTCCTAGAACTGCATCACCAACAATTAAACTCTGTTCTCTGTAAAGTCTACTTTAATCACTTCTTAAAAATGTGTATGAGCCGACCTTTGATCCCAGCACCTGGGAAGCAGAGGCAGGCGGATCTCTGTGAGTTCCAGGCCAGCCTGGTCTACATAGTGAGTTCTAGACCAGCTGGGACTATAGGGAGATCCTGTCTCAAAAAAGGACAAAAAGAAAAAAATAAATAAAAATGAGTATGAGCTGGATGTGGTGGCGCATACCTTTAATCTTAGCACTCAAAAGACAAGGCAGAAGGATCTCTGTGAGTTCCAGGCCAGCTAGGGGCTACAGGGAGACTCTGTTTCAAAATGACTAAAAATAATAATACATAAATAAGTAAGTAAATAAATAAATAAATAAACAAGGTGTTAGAGAAATGGCTCAGCACTTAAGAGTACTGGCTGTTCTTGCAGAAGACCCAGGTTTGAATCCACATGGTGGCTAACAATCACCCATACCCTCCAGTTTCCAGGAGATCCAATGCCTTCTGTCCTCTGCAGGAACTGCACGATACGGATGCACTTACACACATGCAGGCATAACACTCATACACATAAAATAAAAAATAATTTTAAGGCCTGGTATGGTGGTGCACACCTTTAATCCCAGCACTTGGGAAGGAGAGGCAGGCAGATCTCTGTGAGTTCAAGGCCAGCCTGGCCTACATAGTGAGTTCCAGGACAGCTGGGGCTACAGGGAGACCCTGTCTCAAAAAGACCAAAAAAAAAAAAAACAATAAATAATTTTTAAAAATAATAAAAATGTATGTGTGCCCATAGAGGCCAGATGAGGGCATCAGATACCCTGAAACTGGAGTTATAAACAGTTGTTAGCTGTTATATGGATGATGGGAACAGAACTTGGGTCCTCTGTAAGAGCATCCAGTGCTCTTAACCCCTAACCTATCTCTCCAGCCCTTTAATTGCTTTTTGTATACCCATTTCCAGTATCTCAAAACCTCGGGTAAAGGACTCTGATAATGATACTCCGTCTGGTCTAACTCCAGGTCCACCTCAACCAATGCACCATCTTGCTTTCCAACTCCTTGTTCCACAACAAAGCCTCAGTTTCTGCGTCAGCCACCTCCTGGCCCGAGGGACCATGCGCTCATAGCTCACCTCTGCTCCTCCTGTGCCCTTTCCCTGCCATTCTTCCCTGACTCTGCCAAGTTTTCACTTCTATCCAGACCCAGCTCATTCCACATGCAGAAAGGAATCCAGATGGGAACCCAGATGGCCTCCTCTCTCAGGACATGCCATCCATTGCTGGCACAGTGAGTACCTGCTGTACTTCGGCACTTAGCATCTGCTGCTGGATCCTGTTACCTGGCCCATCTCTGGCCAGAGGAAAGGAGCCACTTCTAATTGGTGTGGCCTCAGCACCAAGATCTAACACAGTCAGTATCCCTGACAGCAGCAACTATATGGCCCACTACTTTCCTACCTTCTGACATGTCCTATGCCACAATACTATCCTGAATATTTTTCAGGTCTGTGAAAAAGTAACTTTCTCAGTTTTGTAGCAACAAAAAAAAAGGCAATCAAAGGGAGACACAAACAGATTTAAATTCACAATCCCAGTCAAATGTTTATAATATTTTTTTTTTTGTCTTTTTGAGACAGGGTCTCCCTGTAGCACCACCAGCTGGCCTGGATCTTGCTATGTAGACCAAGCTGGCCTCAGAGATCTACCTGCCTCTGCCTCCCAAGTGCTGGGATTAAAGGCATGTGCCAACACACCCAGTTTACAATAAAAAAATTTAAACTGAAATGTATACACATATACACACATATATGAGTAGGCATACATATCCATATAGGAAAAATAAGAAAACTATTCTTGAGGGCCAATGAGATAGCTCAGTGGGTAAAGGTACTTTCTGTACAAGCCTGATAGCCTGATCTCAATTCCTAGGACCCACAGGAAGATAAGAGAGAACTGA